GATGCCTAGCACGCCGAAGGCCCTGGGCTCTGTCTCCAGCACCAATAAAAAACAAAAGCTAAGTACTCTGAGTAAAAAAGCAGCAACCCTCAAAGTCTCACATTCTGTGGGACTCCCTTAGGAATGTTTTCCAAATGACAAAATTAGAGAGGTGGAGAACAGACTTGGTTGCCAGGTGTTAGGATTAAAGGAACAGGGAGGACGGGTGTGGGCAAAGGGGCATCAGGAAGAGGCCTCCGCTGGAAGAGGCCTGTGTGCCTCGCAGACGGGGCTGCTCCCTGTATATGGATGGGTGCATGGCTGTGCACTCACCAGCCAGTGTCAGTTCCCTGGATTGATGCTGTACTGATAGAAGGTGCTACCACTGGGGGACTGTGTAAAGGGAACATGGGGCCACTTCTTGCTGCTTTTGCAAGTGTCTGAATTTATGAATATTTTAAAAAATAAAAAAGTTTAAAGATATAAACTGTTATAGTTTTAATTATTCTAGTCCAGTATAAGAAAAGCAGACCAATTATAGGAGACGAAGAATAAGTAGAATGCACACATGTGCGTGTGTGTGCGTGTGTGTGTGTGTGTGGTAAGTGTACAATAACACTGACACAAAGCACCAGCAGAAAGGGGCAGGGCTGTGTAAGTTCTGCTCAGAGAATTGATACTTTAAAGGAGATGTGTGTGTAGCCTCTTGGCATACACAGATTCTTTCACAAGAGGAAGAGTGAATTAAAAAGTGCTTGGGGGAAGCTGGGAGACTGCTCAGCAGTTATGAGCATGGGCTGCTCTTCCAGAGGTCCTGAGTTCAATTCCCAGCACCCACATGGCCTCTTGTAACTATCTGTAATTCGAGTTCCAGGGGATCCCATACCCTTTATGGCTTCTCCAGACATGCCTCCAGCCAAAATAACCACATGTAACATTTAACTATAAATTTAGGTGGGGGTTGAGTGTGCACCTCTAATCCAAGCATTCAGGAGGCAGGTGGAGCATTGGTGAGCTTGAGGCTAGCTCAGTATGAATGGGGAGTTCCAGGCCAGCCAGAACGACATTGGGAGAACTTGTGTCAGAAAACAAAACGAAACGTGGAGGTTGAGCATGTAGTGCAGTGGGCAGACTGTATACCGTGGGCTCCACCAGCAGTGCTGTCCAGACCATTCCTGGTGCTGCAGGCTCGGAATCCCAGCACTGGGGAGGCAGAAGAAGGGGAATCGTCAGCCCCGCTAATTGAATGTTATTTCTCAGCAAGGAGCATCTTTCCAAGTCTGGACGGAAAGAAAGGCATCGCTAGGAGAGACTGAAGGCTATGACCATATATGGAGATGCAGCAACTGCAGTCTCTGCAGTTATGGGGCAGAGGCAG